CCGGGAACCAGTTCTGGGTGGCCCTTGTGATGCGGCATGCCCACTCCGCATTGGGAGTCCTTCTCCCTTTTCCGAGTCTCCCTAAACTTTTGGCAGTGTTGCTCGGGGGTGACCGCATACCAGGCAAGGAGGATTTGGGTAATAAAGGGATAGTCTCTGATCTGTTCCTCTGGTACAGCCCAGTAAATATCCACTGCCTTCCGCTGGCCAGGAAGGTGATCCAGTCGCTGGGGTCCACGTCTTGGAGTAGGCACTGGCGCTCAAAGTCTTGTAAAAAGTAATTGATGCCTTCTTCTGCTTCCTTGAAGTCTTTGAAGGCATTGTATGGTAGCTTGTGGGCCAGGGTGGTTGTGCTTCCCGGCGCCCTCTGCTCCCTTCATCTGAGTTCATGGAGGCCACCCTCTGTCTATTGGCAAGAACATTGGCTTGCACCTTCGAAAAGGTCCTGCTAACGATCTCCTCTGAGGGTGGCTCTCGGTAATATGCCAGGCACCGTTACACCTCCTTGTGCACTTCCTCCTCATCTCCTGCTGCTGCTCGCCTGTCTGTGCTGCAGCGTAACTTTAGCCTTCCCACTCACCGTCTCATGTGACTATGCGAGCAGCAGCAGGCGATAGTGGAGTTCCAGCTGCGGCACGCACAGGTCAGTCGCTCTGCGGAACAGAGTTGTCTTTTTTTATATGTCCCGATATTTTGGGGGCTACCCCAATAAAAAAAAAAATATGTATATATAAAAACAGTGTTGGCTACCTCCTCCTCCTCCACCGCCGCTTCCACCTACATTGCCACGGTCACCGCCTCCTCAACCTATGGGTCACTTAGTATAAACTATGTACACAATAGCAGAGGCTTGTGAAGGCCTTTTCTCCATGCATCAGGAGTTGAGCTCAGTTTGAACAATGAAAGAGAATACCCTGCACTCCAACCGTCTCTCAAATTGATAATTCTGGTGATCCTCCAGACAGCCATGCTTTAGATTTTGATTTATGTTCTTCCAAAGCTAAAATCAAAGATTTCATCTAGTGCTATTTTATGGCATAGCTGTATTTTTAATTTTTATGTTATTTTAAGTGATGTCCCTATCCACATTTGTTTGCAGTGCACTTGTCCTACTCTTACCCACATTTTACTTAATTTTGCAGCCCTCTAGCCGTTTCCAGGACTTTTTTAGAGGCATTTTTGTGGCCAAAAGTTCAGGTCCCCATTGACTTCAATGGGGTTCGGGTTCGGGGTGAAGTTCAAGAACGAACCCGGACTTTTTTTCAAAGTTTGGCTGAACCCGCCGGACCCGAACATCCAGGTGTCCGCTCAACTCTACTAATTAACTATGTCATACGTAATGCCTTCCCAGTAAAGATCAGAACTTAAAACCAGATAATATATTTTCCTTTTAAAACTTTCATATATAACATTTTGTTTTATTAAAGGAAAACTATAGGCACCCAGACCACGTCAGTTTATCCCAGTGTGACTCCTTGACTCTACAAGCAATGATATTAGTGCCAACTCTCTTCACCTGTGTCTGGTCAGGTGTCTGGGTCTTGGCCTATATAAGCCACTTCCTGTCTCTGTGTACCAAACAAACTCAAACTCTCTATTTGTTTGGTACACTTTGCATATAGTGGAATTGAGATATCCACAGAGTGTTTTCAGCTGCTGACTAATTAACAAACTGTTTTCACTACTAAGCACCTATAATTACACACTTGTCTTGTTTGCTACTTCCTGTCTCTGTACCTTTGCCAGATTAATGTGGTTCCTGTACTCTATAATCAAGCTTGTTCCTGTTTCTCCTACCTGTTGCTGAATTTGGACAGTTTGACTTTCCTGCTTCTCCTTCCCACTGACCTTGGCTTGCCTTACTACGATTATCATCTTTCTGTTGCAGTCTTTCATCTCTGCCTAAGACCAGATAGCCACTCAAGGCTCAGGGGCTCAACCACCTGGGTGATGAGTGGCTGCTTCTGGCAGAAAACAATGCTCATCTGACTGCTGGACTCCAAACCTTTGTAACATCAATATTGTTACACCCAGGTGCCTTAACCTTGCAATAGTAATTATTCTAGTTATTGAGAAACTTCAAGAATTACTATCCATGGTTAACTCCACCTCTAGTGGCTGTCTACCAGACAGCCACTAGAAGGATGTCCGGGTCATTAGGTGACTTTTGGTAGCCTAGCTGACACTGGATGTCCTCATGCTACACATGAGGATGTCCAGCATCACCTTAAACCCATAGTAAAGCATTCTATAATGCTTTCCTATTAGGGAATTCCTAATGCGAGTGCAGCCATTTCCATGTAATCAGTATATGAGCTGAAGTGGAGCCCAAGCCAGCCCAGAAGGACATCTGTGCTGGACTAAGGTTAGTGACAGAAGGGGATTTTAACCCCTTCTGCAACAGGGGGAGGGTGGGGGCAATATAGAGATCTATAGTGCCAGGAAAGCAAGTTTGTTCCGTGATTTCCTTTAATAACATTAAATCTTAACCAAACTTTCCTAAAGAGAAATCAACTTATTTTGTGGGGGTTTTTGTTGTTTTTTTTTAATGGATTTTCTCCTTTTTCTGACTCTGAAAATTTAATTTTCTTCTTTTTTATTTGCGATCTATTTTTACTTTGACCACAAATCATGACTGAAAGCTGTAAGAAAAATATATGACTTTGTGTTGAGGTATCTCATTAGCACATGTAATATGAGGTCAATGAAAAGGGTCTGTGAACCATGTGTAAGTGCTATTTGAAGTGCATCCTGTAATTTATTGTGACAAACCTTCTGTAAAGGTACTAGACTATAAAAGGAGAAAATGCATTATAGTCAAATAAACAACAAAGTGAAACTATTTGTCAAAGGTTATTGCACAATTTAAACAATTCATTTATGTATTGTTGTTTAATTATACATATCCTTAAGTAATGATGCAGCATTGGCTTCCTGTATCCTATAGGAGTCAATTCAAAGTGCTAACCCATACCTATAAAGCACTGAATAATCTTATATCTCCTCACAGATCCATAGGTATGCCCCTTCTCGGTCTCTCCACTCTGCCCGTGACTTTCTCCTGTCTGCTGCTCGTACCCGTACAGCCAACTCACGCTTGCAGGATTTCTCGCGGGTGGCTCCCTTCCTATGGAATAGCCTGCCTTCCGCCATCAGACTCTCCCTTAGTCTTTAATTGTTTAAAAAGTGCCTTAAAAGCCATCTCTTTAGGAAAGCTCATGGCCCCCAGAGTAACCGCTACCTCACATACCTGTCTCTTGCTCTCTCCTAAGGTGCAGCACTTTCCTGTAAGTTTTCTTGTAATTGTCCTATTTATAGTTAAATCCCCCCTCTCATAATATTGTAAAGCGCTATGGAATCTGTTGGCGCTATATAAATGGAAATAATAATAATAATAACAATAATATTAACGACAAGATTACATTGTAAAATAACACATTTGACACCCCACGCCTGTAGTACCCCGGGAGCGCAACACAAACCAATCACTAGCTGCAGAAATCTAGCTAGCCCCGGATTTGTCCCCAAACATGGTCAAAATAAAAAAGTGCTTGCCAAACGCATTTCACTGTACATCTTGTCTAACCTATAAAAAACAGTGAGTCGAACATAGAAAAAAGAATATAGAATCAACAGAAGGAAAATGAGAAACAACAAATGCCATAACGTGCCCTAAAGGAAGGCTAAAGTTCAAAAGATATTAAAAAGGACCTGTCATGTGCAGGTTTTAAATAATGTTACATCATTCATAAAAACAGCTATTGGATATTTTTAATTTCCTTTAATGTTATACTAAAGGCAAAGTAGTGACTGAGCACAAAAAGACCTAAATAAGGGGTATAAATATAATGTGAATTCAACGTGTCATTTCAAAATAATTTTGGTGAAGATCCTAGTCATGCTTCCCCTGGATGTGACTCACACAACCTCAATGAAAAATGGTTCACTTTTTATAGCACATTGTGATATTTTAGAAGTTCTTATCGCCTCCTCTGTTCCATCTGCAATTCTAGCTCAAAGGTGACATTTGTGCATTTGTGACTTTTCCTGTGCCAGTGTGTCTTCCTGTGTTTCCTAATGTGTGTGTTTTGACTGCATTAGAGGATATATGTAGACTGTTTATGTTTAGTTGTATGTGGCTGAAACTGTGTGACTCTTACTACTCTGTCATGTTTGAGTTGCAACAGAGATCATCATATATACAACTGTATTTGTTATTCTGGACAGTAGATGGTGCTGTATTACATAAACTTAGATGGTAATAAAATGAAGTACAGTTTATCTCTGTTCTCTGCATGTCTTCATGATTAACTCACTATGTAACTGTTGAATAAAACTAAACATAGTTGTTTAAATGTTTCTATTTATTAACTTTTTTTGGGGGGATGTTCACAGTAGTATAATATTTATAACATCTAATTTCAGAAGTGCTCTAAACATTTAGCTCCAAGTTGCATGATACCCAAATACCCAATACAAATTTTAAAGTGAACAGGTTTTACAAAATTAAATGTGATTTACAAGGTCTGCTATATCCCTGTTACATAGTTACATAGCCGAAAAGAGACTTGCATCCATCCAGTTCAGTCTTCCTCACTTTTGTTTTTGCTGTTGATCCAAAAGAAGGCAAAAAACCTAGTCTGAAGCGCTTCCAATTTTGCAACAAACCAGGAAAAAAATAATTCTTGACCCCAAAATAGCAGTCAGATGTCTCCTTGAATCAAGCAGCTTTTACCCCACTAATTAGAAATTATATCCCTGTATGTTAAGAATGTACCTAGTCCATAGACTAGGTATACATGTGTGTCGCAGACTTAATCAGGGGTCAGGGGTACCCCTTTCTTGAGCTATTTTCCCTCATTCTCCCTTCTCAGCATGCTCTCTTTTCTGTTCTGTGTCCTGTCATGGAGCATTTGATCGAGGAGGTCAGAAGGAGGGCATTCAGCAGCAGAGGTGCTGAATGGCTGATGCAGTGCATTTTGACTGCCCCTTCCTGCCAAATGGATGCACGCCCACAGAATGCTTCATTGGACAGTACAGTGCCTGAGGAGGAGGAAGCTGCTAAAGGGGAAGATTCAGAGGAGGAGCATCAAATGTCAGTTTGCCTGAGTGACAGAAGTTTACTTCATGGAAGAAAGAAGAGGATTTACAAGAGTGATTTATTCCACTTCATCCACCAGAGGGACAAAAAGACCAAAGCTGCAGGGAAAAGGAAGAAAAATCCTGTCAGGCTGCTGAATTGGGGCAAGTACCGGTCTTTGAAGTCGGTGAGCAAGCTGATACCTCGCAGACTACGCCCACGGAGCGAATGGACAATTCATCCGGTGAGTTATTCTCTGGGGTTTCTCCCGATGCTAAGCTGGGGGAAGCCCTGGGGATTTTTTATTCAATCTATACAAGGTAAAGCTGGTAGTCCAGCGATGGCTTGGTTACAGGATAGTTTAAATTACAAATTCAACTGCACCTGTCAGTTTAATTAATGGGTCTGACAGGAGCGGTATGCCTCTTAGTGAGGCTTGTCCAGAGGAAGCTTTGGCATGCGAAGCTTAACCTCTTAGTATCACTTATCGAATTGCAAAAAAAAATAATAATTTTTTTTTAATGATTAATATGTGAATATTCTCTCACTATTACTAACTTTTAATGAATTTTGTCAAGGCAAGATAAAGACGAGGACAGGAAAAGGCCTGTGCCCCGTTCTTTTAATAATTGGATTTAGGCGTTGAAAACTGTATTTTGCTAGCGTTTATTGTGAGCGTCATTCAGATAGTGCTAGCCATCTTTTTCAACATTTAGACGCTATTTTGGAGGCTTTCAAGCATTGGTAGTCTAGCTTGGTTTAGAAGGATGTTGGCTCCTGGTTTTGCATTATGTTTGCTAAGCGGGATTCTTCAGAATCTGTTCAGACCGCAGTCTCAAGAAAGTGGGTTACAGGTACGCCCGAGGGGTGTTGTTAGTAGTTTAATGAGTCGCAATGTAAATGGCTGAATTCTTGCAGGTTTAGGCATGAATGCTTTAACTGTGCTGGGAATCATCAGTCCTTTCTGTGCTTTAAGATACTGGGCGCTACCGCCAGGGAACAGGTTTTTAAGGTTGGACGCCAGTGAGAATGCAAAATCTGCTCCCCATATTTAAGATGCTATCCAGACAAGAATTTAGCGCAGCTAATTAAAGAAGGTTTCTTGTTTGGTTTTAGAATTCCTGTTTGTCAGTTCATCTGGTCAGTTGTTTAAAATCTTAGTTCACTTAAATTAAATAGTAGTTTTGTTAGAGATAAAATTGATAGAGAAATAGCTTTAAGGTAGAGTTGAAGGCTTGTTTTCTGTTCCGCCTTTTCCTTAGTTTAGGGTGTCTCCGCTTGGTTTAGTCCCTAAGTAAGAAAAAGGTACATATAGACCAATTCACCATTTATCTTACCAGAAGGATATATCATTGAATGTTGAGGTGGATGCTTCCATTATTTCTGTGTCGTATAGCTCATTTGATGAGGCGCTGCAGTAGGTTAAGAGGTATGAGCAGAGTGCACTTATGTTAAAGGTCGACACTGAGGTAGCATTTAGACTACTCGCTGTACATTCCGACTGTTTGGTTCTAGGATTTTATTTTGATAAATGTATGCCTATGGGTTGTTCTGCTTCTTGTTTTATTTTGAACATTTTTCAAATTTTTCTGAATGTGTTTTCAATCAAGTTTTTTGGTTTACATTCGGTTATTCATTATTTGGATGATTTCATTTTCAATGTAAAGCCGAATCTTCAGATTGCTTGCAATTGCTGCAGATTTTCATGTTCATTGACCAGCATTTTTGGTCTTCCATTGGCAAAGGAAAGACAGTTTGGCCTATTACATGTTTACAGTTTTAGGTATAATTTTTGATTCTGAGCGGCTGGAGTTGCGTTTGCATGAGGATAAGATTATCAGCATGAAGCACAAAATTTCGCACTTATCAGAGGTTAGCAAAACGTTGGTAGGTTTATTGCAATCTGTGTTAGGTTTACCAAATTTTGCTTCGAGAGTAATGCCTATGGCTGGAGCCTTTTCCAGACATTTGTCAAGAGTTATAGCTGGTTTAAAAAAAAAAATCTGCATCTCTATGTTGGAATTTATAGAGAGATCAGGGATAATTTTTAGGTATGTAATGAATTTTATGCAACTTTAATGGTTCCATGATTTGGCAAAGTAATTTTATATCTAATGGGGTTTTGGATATTTTCACGGATGGCAAATACTTTCATGGTAAATGGGCAGCAGCTGTGTGGCACCAGTCGTGGGAAGAGTATGGTTGGACAAGGATGATTACTCTTTTGAATTATTTATGATAGTTGTAGCTCTTGAGGTTTGGGGCGCTGAATTGGCTATCAAAGAGGATCAATTTGCTTTGTGACAACTTAAGGATTCCCTTAGTGCTAAATGTATACCAGTGATCAATCTATTGAGACGTCTGGTTTTATTTGCTTGGTCATTATTATATGGGTATGCTGAGCATGTAAAGGGAAGAGTAATTATATAGCTGATGCTTTTGTCCCATTTTGATGTTAAGTCTTTTCGGGTCCCTTCCACTTGGGAGCATACCTGAGGGCTTAGGAAGAATGGCAACAGTTTATGCTTAATTTAATTAGGGACGCTACTGATCCTACTTTACAGGATGTAATTCAATATATGATTTAAAAAAAAAACATTTCGAGCTGACGTATTCAAGTTTTTGTTTTAAAGGCCCCCTCCCCCTTTTTTGAGTATTCCCTTTTTCCTCAAAGTACTGGGAAAGAAGTCTGTGTTTAAGGAATTCAAGATTAAGCAGATGTTAAAGGGGACATGGACAAAGAAAGCGCTAGTTCATGGTAACAGGTCCCCTATCTCTTTTCAGCTGTTGCGTGATTCATTTAAAATTTGAGCTCCATTTGTAAAGATACATTTGAGACCCAATTCTTTACAACTGCTTTTATATTAGCAATTTTTGGAGCTTGCAGGCTCAGTGAGTTAGTTTATGCTAATACGTTTTGACATTCAGGTATATAATTTAGGATTTTTAAAAAAATTTTTTTTTTTACAAAATGAATTTTTAAAGTATTTTATTAAGTAGATCAAAAACCGATCAGCTTGGGAGAGGTCAATGGGTTCAATTGAGAGCTATACACAATTGGTTATGTCCAGTTAAGGCTGTTAAGGCTTATCTAAATATTCGCCCGGAAGCACAGTGCAGTCTTTTGATACACCGGTCAGGAGTTTCTCTTTCTAAATTTCAATTTTGTAAAGTTTTTCAGTTATCATGTAAAAGTCTAAGTTTTAATGATAAGAGGATTACTTCTCATTCCTTTCGTATAGGTGCTGCAACGGAAGCTGTGGTAATTGGTCTCTCGGATAAAGTGGTCAAAAAGTTGGTTGATAGTCCTCGAATAGATTTAAAATTTATGTTTGACCCTGATGATTTTATTATACTGACTTGTTTCTTTCTATTTCAGATACGAGACTTGTGGTTGTTTGGATAGTAGGCCATTATTTTGTCCACTGGGCACATATAAGACTGGTGGGTAGGTTATATGGCAAGAACTTAATTTTGATAATGAGTCTGTTCTAATTTATTGGATTTGTGTAAGTGGTCTATTAAGAGAAAATGTTTTCCAGTTATTACAAAGTGGTGTTGGCCAAATCTCTTGGCAGGTAATTAATTTTCACTATGGTGGTAATGATACTATGGTGGTAATGATGTGGGCCTGGTTAAATCAGTAATTTTGTTCCATCAGTTTAAGGATGATTTGCTTCATTTTAAACAAATGTTCATTGGATCGCTGATTATTTGGTCCGAAATAGTCCCAAGATTACTTTGATTGCGCAATGCTAAACTTAAAGCGCTAGAAAGAGTTAGGCGAAAGCTTAATAAAGCCATGGAGAAATTTATGCCATCAATTGGTGGTTTTTCTTTTCATCATGTGGATAGTGAGGGTCAATGTGAAGGATTATTTTTAAGGAATGGTATCCATTTGTCTGATGTTGGTTTGGATATTTTTGAATAATGATGTGCAGTGTATGGTTGATAAGGCTGTGGTCTGGTGGGGTGGGCTGCAGCATTAGTTGCATGCTGCAGCGTGTGGGGTTGAGGTCACCTTCCTAATTTAAAGGGGAGTGGACTAGCTGAGTTTTTGATCATTTGGTTGAAGTTTTGGCTAATAGGGCAGAACTCTGGTGAGTTATGTTTTAATTCTCTGGGGGTTTAAAAAACAGAGATGGTTTGGTTATAAAGTTATTATGTGTTGGTTGTATTATTTTAAAACTAAATAAAAGACCATGGCCTTTTCTGAAACATTTCTGAGTCTGTGTGTTATTTATTATTATGTATCTATATGATTGTTTTGTTGTTTATTATTGGTATTTACTATGTATCAGTCTGATTTAACCCCTGCTGAGCACATGTTTTTGCAAGTATTTATCCAATTGCAGTTTAAACATCTGTATGTAACTCTGATAAAACCACCTCTTCAGGCAGATAATTCCATATCCTTATTGATCTTACTGTAAAAAAACTACTTTTCTACAAGTTTATATACTGATTATTTATAATATATATGTGTATTATTTTTATTATCTTTAAATAGTGATAACACATAGATTGAAGTTAGGATACAATAAATGGAGTCTCAAAAAGAACTGTACTGGATTTACTGAGATTCTAGGACTGTGATGAATGAAAAAGTGGAATAAATAGTAATGTGTTTACATATTGCACATATAATGCTATACTAGACAAATTAGAATGGATAAAAGCATAAATATTTAGTACAAAAATAGAAGATTCATAATGAATAACAATCTGAAAAACCAACCCATCACAACTTCAGTACAGACATAGGACATTTTCTGAACTATCGAGATTGGTCAGTTTCCAAATGAAATATATCAACTGGTATTCACATAAGAAAATATTTTAGTTTTGTTCACAAGGAGATACAAAGTGTTGAGTAGTAGTAATTAGATTTTACCGGACACCTGGATGTTCGGGTTCTCTGGGTTCGGTAGAACTTAGGCAAAAAGTTCGAGTTCGGACTCAAACTTGACCCCGAACCCGAACTCCATTGAAGTCAATGGGGACCCGTACTTTTGGGCACTAAAATGGCTCTAAAAATGTCCTGGAAAGGGCTAGAGTGCTGCAAAAGCAAGTAAAATGTATTGCCTAAGTACATTTGCAACACTTACAACAATCAAGTAACATACATTCATATAAAACGTAAGTTACTTGGCCAGTCAATGTAATGACAGGAATGAAGTCCCACAGTAATAGAGAGCTATCTACTAAAAGGCTGAAAGACCTAAATTGGTCTTTCAGCCACAT